TGCTGAAGAGTTGATGTTATGTATGGAGTAGGTGGATTTTTCCTCATTGTGCTTCTTTTAGAGTGAATCACTTGAAAATTTTCTGATCTAATCCTCTGCTCAATATCCCCAGCTTCCGTGCTGGAGCTGATAGAAAGCTGATTCAACTTCTTTGAATTGAAACAGGTCAAGTGAGCTGAAAAAGTGGTTGACTTTCCTTCCTTTTGCAATTTGATTCCTACAGTCCAGTACTCCTGAGGCTTAAATTCATCAACCTCAGTTTCTCTATCACAAATCAGAGCCAAAGCAGCAGACTGGACTCTTCCAGCTGACTGGCAACCAGGCAGTTTCCTCCAAAGTAGCGGTGAAATGTTAAACCCGATGAGATAATCAAGAGCACGTCGTGCAAGGTATGCATGTACCAAGTTCGCATCAATTTCCCGTGGGGCCTGAAGAGCATTTTTTATTGCTGACTCGGTTATCTCATGGAAGACGACCCTTGATACGGTCATACTTTCGTGTAAGGCATCCTGCTGCTGCAACATCTCAATGATGTGCCAGGAAATTGCCTCTCCTTCACGATCTGGATCCGACGCAAGAATAAGATTTTCAGCTCTGAGGAATAAGGTAAACAGAACAAGATACATAAGCATATTAATCGAAAATAGTACAGAAGGAGCTCATGTGAGGCTCAAAGCAATCATATATCTCAATTGTTAAGCATAGTAGCAGCGGATATTCAAATTTAATCACAGAAGCAAGAACAAGAAACTGTACCCATTTAGAGCCACCTTTATGCTCTTAAGATGAGTCCAAGCCGTAGATGGAACCTCCCAAACCATGCTAAAATCTTCATCTGGCCTCACTGAACCAGACCTTGCAGCCAAATCTCTAATATGACCATAGCTCGGCAAAACCTCATACATATTACCAAGATAACCTTGTATAACCTTTGCTTTTGTAAGTGACTCAACAACAATAACAGATTTCCCCCTTGGTGGATAAAGCGGAATCAACGCGTTTTGACCCCGATGGTCTACGCTGTTTTTCATAGTTTGCGGAGTCTGATTTTGCTGTGATCCATTTATTTTTCTTCTTGACTTTCCTGGTTGCCTACCATTACTCACATTTTTCTCGTCAAACTTGGATTTTGGTGGAACGGATCCATCAGGCTCCTCCACAATCGAAGTTGTCGTCACCATCTTGTTCTGAAAACTGCGGTGTTAGTTTAAATGCGGTGAACCAGAAGAATAAACCAGACTAATACGCTCCAAGAAAATATAAAAAAGTTTCCTAACCTTAGATGCAGATGAAGACTTCCGGCTGCTTTTTGACTTGCGGGCACCCTTTGAACTCTCTTTTATAGAGACTGCCTCTGAAACTGGTGCTGCTGAAGAAGATTTATCATCTTCACCTTTTTTGCTCTTTGACCTCCTCTTTGTCTTTGCCGCAGAAGCTTGCTTACTATTGCTGGCAGGTGAAGCAACAGCAGGGAGTTCCACCTTGATTCCATCGGTACTGCCACTCCCAACAACAGGTTCAGTAGGCATCACTGCTTCGGCTTCAGTGGATGCCGTGACCTTATGCTTCTTCCACCTTTTATGAATTTTCCTAAAAGTTGATCTATTCCCCTCACCCTTTCCATCACTACCACCACCCGGGCCGATACTCTTATTCCCAGTATTAGGGACTTGAGAAAAATATCTCCTCGGAAACAAGGAGCTATTAACCAAAAAGGGTCTGAAACTACTTCTCGATGACCCTGAACACAAACTATTCCAAGGTGCTGCACAATTAAGGGACCCAAAATGCCTTACACGTGAAGGAAGTGCGCAAGTTGGCGAAGAATACCGTATAGCTCCTTTCTTAAACTGAACCTGGCTTACATAACTATATACACTATCAAAGGTAGCTAAGGGAGAGGAACGAGCGACTGGAAGATTATGAAGCGTCATGCATTGCAACTGTAACACAAAACAAGTGTAGTGCTATACTCAGTTCCACAACATGAGAATATCTCCATAGCCGGAGAGAAATTGGTAACTAAAGGTCTCGAATCCGAACCCCATTAGGAAATCATAGCACAGAAAGGGAATGATGGCAAATATAACAAAGTCTCGAACTCTACCGGCAAATTCAAACAAAAGCAAAAAACAATCATATTTCACCATTAGAACCAAGAAAGGACAAATCTTTGGAAGAAAAGAAAAGAACTTTTAAATCAAGAAGCTGAAATCAGAACCCCAAGGGGAGGAGGAAAAACCAGACCTTAGCCATGAGAGGACGAAGAGACAGAGCCGAAGGCGAAGAAGAAGCAGCCAGAGAAATAGTTCTCTGCATTGGAAAGCTCAAAACTTTCGATTCAGAAACTCTTCAAATCATCTCCCGATCACTTTCTTTTGCTTCTCACAAATTTAGCCGAAGCGAGAATGAACGAACAAATAAAGATTTTGTTGTTGTTTGATATTGAAGGCGGAAGCTCTTCAACGCCCAGGGTTTTTTTTCGGGGTTTATCTCTCAATCAGATTGCGGTGTATGAGTTCGGGTCGGGTATGGGCTTGGGCCACTAGACCCGACCCATTCATGATTACCCGGTTGCGTAAACAAGTCGGGTTTACGGGTCAACTCAATTCCCAAAATGGTCATTCGGGTCAATCTCAATTCGCAGCGCGCTACACTAACACAATTCTCTCTTCTTCTTCTTCTTCAGTTCTTCTCCAGGTGAGTTTCGTTCCAATTCCATGGTAACCTGGACTAGGGCTTCACAACGTTAGCGTTTTTTCGTTTTGGTTGCTTAATCCGGAAGCAGAAGAATTAGGGTTTTTCTCCCCAAATTGCCTAATCATTTTCTCGATTTTTTTGTATGTTGAAGAATAGGATCTTCACTCGAAGTTTCTTCTGTCAGTTTAGAGATTTCCGTGCTGATATGCGTATGAAAACCTAAATTTACTTTCGTTGCTTGATTTCTTCAGTGGCCTTGTTTTGATTGAAAACCCGTGGCTTTCTATATGGTTCAGTGTTCGTATTTGCGTAAAGCGCGATAGTTGCACCGTTTTGAATCTAGGAGAAGATAGCGATGGAACTTGAATACAGATACTGATTGTTGTATTCAATTGCATTTCTTTTCAGGAGCAAGTAGTTGAATCTTCATAGCAATTTTTCTAGTTGAGAACAAATGGATAGAAGGCCTCCACACGATTATGCTGCGGCCTCTGGAATGTCATATGCCCAGCAGCAGCAGCAGCAGCAAGTTCCAAGCTTTCAGCAACAGCAAGAACAATTCGGGTTTCAAATGCAACTTCAACAATACCCGTCTCCAATGCACGGTTCCCCTTTCATGCCTCCTCACCCTTCTATGCAGCAGCAGTTCCCTTACCATCACCCGATGCAACAGCAGCCGCCTCAGCTTCTTCCCCGTCCTCCTCTCCAGCAAATGTATGGTCAACAGCCACCACGGGCTTTCCCTCCGCATTTGCCTCCTCATCTTGTTCCTTCGCCATTCCTTGGAGCATATGACTCGGCTCCTCCTCCACCAGCTCCTCCTCCGTCCGAGCCAGAGCTGCAGAAGCGGATTGATAAACTTATCGAGTATTCTGTAAAGAATGGTCCAGAGTTTGAGGCAATGATACGTGAGAAACAGAAGGATAATCCTGACTATGCGTTCCTGTTTGGGGGTGAGGGGCATGGTTACTACCATTACAAGCTCTTCTTGTCTATGCATCCCCCTGGTGGGCCATTCAATCCTCCATTTCCGCCATCTTCCATGCCGATGATGCATCCTCCACCTAATCCCATGACGAATCCTTCGATGAATGCTGGACCTGGTGCATTAGTTGCTCCACAGCTCCACCAACCTCCTTTCCCACCATTCCATGACCAGCAGCAGCTTCAGCATCCACATCGTTTTCCGCCTCATGCTCATCCTGATTTTGATCAATCAACTCATGCCTTTAGAGGTCTTTCTGGCCCACTCCCTTCCGATGTTTCCATGGAGCTGAATAATGTTCTTGTCAACCTTAATGGCACAAAAGAATCTATAAAGAGTGCCAAGATTTGGTTCATGCAGAGATCTCCCTTTGCACCAGCTTTAGCAGAGGCACTTAGAGAGAGGGTTTTTGCAATGGATGATTCTGAGAGACAGATGCACATAGTTTACCTGGCCAATGACATTCTATTTGACCGGTAACCGAACTCTGGAGAACTGATATCTTTTCTTGTTGCAAAATTTATCGATTGTCTCTGACGTAATTAAAGGGTCCTTAGTTTGTCTCTCTCATTTTTTTTTTCATGTTGTCATTAGAGCATGAACTTTCAGTTTCTAGTTGCTTCAGTTTACATCATTTTTCCATTAGCTTCTCCTTTACCTGAGAGTGAGTCTCTTCTAATATTCTCATGTTTTCCGATTGCGTTTTGCTCCCTTGACTTGCAGTTTGCAGCGCAGGACAAATTTGCATGAGCTTGACAGTGAAGCCCTTGCTTTTAGACCAATCTTGGGTTCCATGCTCGGGAGGATTTACCACAACCCACAAAACAAGGAAGAAAACCAATCACGACTGGAGAAGATTTTGGAGTTCTGGGGCTCTAAGGAGGTTTATGATCCAGATACTATTTCCTCCCTTAAGAGAGAGATGAAAAGTGGACCAGCCATTGATGCAGCAAACTCACTGCAACATACAGGTACTCTCTCTCTCCCCGACTGATGAAAGATCCATAAATGTCACATTTGGCGAGCCATCAACAAGCTTTATGGCCCTGCAGGAATTATGCAACAGCCACCAAACTACATTCCACAATGGCAACCCGATAAGGAGGGGGGTGTTGCAAGTGCGGTGGAACAAGAACATCATATTCCTCCTGTACTGACCCAGAAATTTGTTCCAAATGCTGTACCTCCTGGAGCCTTTAGTGGGTCCATACCGGTAAACCCTTCTGTTCAGCTCACAGCCCAGCAGCCACCAGCTGCACCAGTTGCCGGCGAGAAGCCGCCCCCTTATCCTCTCTTCCCTCCTGGTCTTATCCCTGGAATGGTCAGAAAAATGCAGATTGGCAGCGGTGTCCCTTACTCTCCTCTGAGCCCTTTGGATATCCCGACCGTCATTCCTCCATCAGATGTACCTCAAACGGAAATACTCAAGAGTGTGTCAAAGTTTTTCAAAGAGATAGGTGAGGTAAACCCGAGTGAAGGGCCCATGGGATCAGAAACACGAGATGAGTACGAGGATTATGAGAGGGAGAGCCCCCCACGAAAGGGAGGGGCTTGCATTCCTCCACCTCCCAACCTTCAGGTGGATCCCGAGACCGGAACTTACGCAGATGGAAGCGTTGTTGAGAGGAAAGGTGGGTCAGGAAGACTCGGGCTCGGGGCAACAGCCGATCCCAATGAACCAACCCAGTACGACGATGTTTACACTTCTTACAGGAAGCAGAGAAGTACTAACTATCACTCTTCCATGAGTGTCAGATCTGCTACCAAATGAGTAAAAAAAACTCAACTGTTATTATATCCAATGTGGTTTCAGTGTCTTGTCTTGTTGGATGTTTCCCCAATGAACAATCAAAGTAATTAGGGCTCGGAACGTTTCATTGTTCTTCTCCTTGGACTATGAGAACTCAGTTTTTTGAAGCTAATGCCATCCCAACTGAAACTTTTTTTAGGTTACTGTTAATGCTGCCATTGCTTTATATAATGGAATTTCAAGTTATTTTCGGATGAAACTATGCTCAGAAAAGTGTTGATTCTGATGTAAAGATATGTCAAAATAGATTGGTGTAAGGCGGATGCGGCATTACACTGAGTTCTAATGCCATCAAACGATTTTATGATGATTCTATTGAGCTTTTTTTTGTTTCATAATCTACAGATGATGAATCTACTGAATTTTTTTTTATAATCCAGAAGTTTATGGGTATTCGACCCAAATACATCTTCTAAAGAATTAGAAAAATTAAGGTGAATGTCCCTTTTGAGACTCGAACCTTTATTGGGAAGAACTTGGATTGCCGATTAAGCCAAACAAAGAATTCATGTAGTCGATCCCAAATCAACGTGGGATTAAAGCGATGTTGATGTTGAATGATGATGAATCCAATGAGTTGAACTTAAGAAGAGAAGCTTTCCACATTCGAGTGAAGATGGATGTTGAATGATGATGAATCCAATGAGTTGAACTTAAGAAGAGAAATCTTCCACATTCAAGTGAAGGAACACATAGACAAATATCCAGAGAAAAAGCTTTACATATATATTTGTTTTATATTGTGAGAAATCTCAATTGCTATCGGGCATACGTCTCGTGACTGACGGGCAAAGGTGAGCGGACAAAAAGTTGTGATATTTTAACAATATCGTGTTTTTGAATATACAAAAAATACGTCTTGAATCTAACATGTAGCATGTAAGAATGAAATAGAATGGAGTCATACATGAGTCCATTTTAGCAATGAATTCGGTAGCGTTTAAGCAGTAATCGGGATTTAGTATGATGAACATCTCCTTATCAACAAATACGTCTTGAATCTAACATGTAGCATGTAAGAATGAAATAGAATAGAGTCATACATGAGTTCATTTTAGCAATGAATTCGGTAGCGTTTAAGCAATAATCGATATTTGTGATATTTTACATCAACACACGGGCAAAAAAAAAATTCTCACAATATGGGCCGTAAGAATTCTGAAAACCAATGTGTCACCTAGGTAATTTATAGAAAATAAACTTCTTATTATTTTCAATTCCGTCCATAAAAGAAATGGAAATAACATAACGGTATCTGCACATTAACTCCACATTTTACAGAAATGACAACTAGGTATTTTAGTTCTTAATTAGATCACAAATATGACCTAAATAAAATAGCACATAATTCATATCTCAATTAATTAGAATGCTGATCCATATGATTATTGAAATAATCGCAACAATCTTCCACTTGGAGCAACACTCATAATTTCCAAATGACATGCATTGTTTTTTGAGCTCATAATTTTGCTATTTTATAAATCATTTCAACAATCTCGTCCATGAATATGTTAACACAGAACCATAGCAGTTTTCACCACATTATTCGCGATTGATGTAACAACCCGAGGCCGCTAAGAATTGTCGAAACTGCCCTCACACAGTAACCCGAGACCTTTCAGCGTGTTTTGTCCTCATTCGCACGCATACCGAGACACTTCCCAAGAAGTCACCCATCCTGAGATTTGCTCCAGAGCCAGCACGCTTAACTTTGGAGTTCTCTCGGGATAGTCAACCAAAAAGGTAGATGCACCTTGTTGCTATGAGTAGCTCAACTAATTCTTTTATGTTATCTTAGACCGTATAGTCCTATACCTATACAGCCCTCGGATCTCTCTCATTCCGGTGTATTCGATTCATCCCTGTACCCCTACCCAGAAGCTCGTCAGGAGCCGCCCCTTGTCCGTGCCTCTACACCGGCGATCACTCCCCGCCCTCCTACGGTACTCTGGGTTGTCATAGACCCACCACCTTCCGCTTGATTCATCCTCGAACCACACCGTACTGGGAGAGTACCGGCTTTGATACCATCTGTAACAACCCGAGGCCACTATGAATTGTCGAAACTGCCCTCACACAGCAACCCGAGATCTTTCAGCGTGTTTTGTCCTCACTTGCACGCATACCGAGACACTTCCCAGTAGGTCACCCATCCTGAGATTTGCTCCAGAGCTAGCACGCTTAACTTTGGAGTTCTCTCGGGATAGTCAACCAAAAAGGTAGGTGCACCTTGTTGCTATGAGTAGCTCAACTAATTCTTTTATGTTATCTTATACCGTATTCTCATTCCGGTGTGTTCCATTCATTCCTGTACCCCCTACCCAGAAGCTCGTCAGGAGCCGCCCCTTGTCCGTGCCTCTGCACCGGCGATCACTCCCCACCCTCCTACGGTACTCTGGGTTGTCACAGTTGAACCTTCCATTACCACATATATCAACAAAATTCAATGACGTAGATCAAAATGTAGATGTACGGCATAGAAATTACATATTATGTGATCTATACATGTCTATTTCCAATTGGTCTTCTTTAACCTTATGGAGATCTTAACCTTTTAGAGTAAAAACTAAAACTTTAAAACTTAATTTTCTGCAGAAAACTTTACTTTTAGTCTCTTCCAACATATAACTCCCACTTAAACTATACATCATCGAATGATAGTACATTCATATGAGCATCATGTCCAATAAAGACCGAAGGTGGTAAACTTTTAGTAAATGGATCCACTATCATGGAAGTCATCTCAATGTGTTTAAGACTTATCTAACTACTCTGTATCCTTTCTTTAACAACAAGGAACTTTATATCAATATGCTTTGACTTAGAAGAACTCTTGTTGTTATTATAGTACATAACCGCCGACTTATGGTTACAATATATCTGAAGTGGTCTTTCTATGTCTGAAGCAGCTCTATGACAAAATTTCGCAATCATACTCCATGATTAGATGTCTCATAACATGCTATAAATTCTGTTTCCATGGTTGAAGCTGCCGTGAGCGTTTGTTAAGCACTTTTCCACGATACAACTCCACTAACTAACAGAAAGACATAACCAGACGTGGATCGAAGACTATCTTGACATCCAACAAAATCAGAATCTATATAACCAATGATCCCCAAATTTTCTGATTTTCTATAAATTAACATGTGATGTTTAGTTTTCTGTAAGTATCTTAAAACTCATTTAGCTGCTTTCTAATGATCCATCCCTAGGTTATGTAGGTACCTTCCTAACATCCCAACTGCATACGCAATATCCAGACGCGTACACACCTGAGCATACGAGAGACTTCCTACAACCGACGCATAAAGAATCTCTTGCATCTGTTTTTGCTCTAATTCATTTCATGGGCATTGTGCAAGACAAAATATGTCTCTTTTAACAATGGTGGTGTTCCCTTCTTTACAGTTTTTCATCCCAAACCTTATTAATATTCTTTTGATATAGTTCTTTTGGGATAATCCAAGTATACTCCGAGTTCTATCTTGATGTATTTGAATTCTTAATACAAAAGCGGCGTTTTCCAAATCTTTCATTTCAAAGTTCTTTGACAGGAAAGCCTTAGTCCCATTTAACATCCCTATATCATTAGAGACAATTAATATATCATCGACATACAATATTAATAAGACGAACTTGCTGCCACTGAACTTATGGTGTACGCATTCTTCTACAGCAATTATTTCAAAACGGTATGAACAAATAATCTATCAAAATTTATAATACCATTGGGGGGATGCTTGTTTAAGCCCGTAGATAGATTTCTTTAATTTACAAACCATTTCCTTTGAATCTCCGATTACAAAATTTTCTGGTGGTGCCATATAGATTGTTTTATTAATGGCTCCATTAAGAAACGTTATCTTACATCCATCTGGTGTAATTCTAAATCATAATGAGCTACAAGTGTCATTATTGTTCTGAACAAGTCTTTCGAAGATACCAGAGAGAAAGTCTCTTTATAATCAACTCTTTCTTTCTGTGTAAATCATTTTGCTACAAGATGAACTTTATACTTATCCACATTTCCTTTAGAATCCCGTTTGGTTTTAAATATCCATTTGAAACCTACGTGTTTGATACTTTCAGGTAATGGAATAAGTTTCCAGACATTGTTGTCTTACATGGATTTATACTCTCCATTCATAGCTTCAAGACAATTTTGAGAGTTTGAACTTTGCATAGCCTGACGAAAATTTATTAGATCATTTTTCTAATAATCCAACATTTTCTCCATGCTCTTGGAGATATATGACATAATCGAACTTCTCCTTACTCTAATTGACCTTCTTGATGACAACTGTTCTTGAGGTTGTTGAGGTTGTTGAGGTTGTTTATCCAGAATAACCTCTTGAATTGGTTCATCCGGAATAACCTCTTGAGTCAGTGTGGGGAGTTGCATGTTGTCCGATTGATCTAGATGTGTTATATCATGACCAATTTATTATGGGAAGATGAACATATTCTTCCTCAATTGCAACTTCTCACACTTTATCTCCACTCCCAAACTCAACATCCTCAAAGAAATGAGTTATTCTAGTTTCGAATATCGATCTGTTTTTGGGATCATAAAACTTGCACCCTCTGGATTTTTCCGAATACCCAACGAAATAGAAACTAATTGTATGCGGGTCCAGTTTCTTTTCTAATGGCTTGAAAGTTGAAAGACCTTACTTCTGCTGGACAACCCCATACATGCAAATGCTTTAGGATTGGTTTCTTACTCGTCCAAAGTTCATAAGGGGTCTTATTAGTTGCTTTTATAGGAACTTTGTTGAGGATATATGTAGCGGTTTTAATCGCTTCTCCCTATAATGACTCTGATAATATAGAGTGACTTATCATACTCCTTACTATATCTTTAAGAGTCATGTTCCTACGTTTAGATACACTTTTCATACTTGAAGTTCAAGGCATGGTATATTGAGGTACTATTCCACATTCATCAATGAATCTTGCAAAAGGACCCGGACATTGTTCACCAGATCCATCATAGCGACCATAGTATTTGCCACCACGATTGTATCTTACTGCTTTAATCCTTTTGCCTAGTTGATTCTCAACTTCAGCTTTATAGGATCTGAACATGTCCAAAGCTTGGGACTTCTCATGCATTAGGTACTAGTATCCATATCTT